AACTGCAAAGGGGCCTTCCTCTTCTACTTCCTCAGCACAGACCCTTTATGGGTGTCGGGCTAGGGGAAGGTCAGGTCTCTCCCTTCCCCAGAGACCATATCTCAGGCTATCACTTGGGAAGAAACCCTGGACAATACCTGGCTTTCCTAGGCAGAGGTCCCTGCGGCCTTCCGCAGTGTATTGTGTCCCTGGGTACTTGAGATTAGAGAATGGTGATGATTTTCCCCACAAGATCCTGTCTGTAAAATAAAAAATAAAAATAAATAAATTTTACCAAACGGGCTCACACCCTCACTGCACAGGGCCATTGTGGGGTGAAGGTGAAGGTCAGAAGGCAGCGTGTGCCAGCCAAGCCTTCCTCTTCCTCCCACCTTCAGCTGGGGGCAACTGTCATTTATCAGAGCATTGCCTGTGGGGCCCTTACCTGGGATGCGTGAGGACAACAGCACACACTGTCTTTGATTAGGATGTTGTCTTTGTGGTTAATATGGTTTAAAACCTCTGGGCTGTTTTATCCCACAGTGGGATCCTATGAAGTTTGTTGTCATCTAAAATCAGGTAATTTCAGGCTGGGCACAGTGGCTCATGCCTATAATCCCAGCATTTTAGGAGGCCAAGGTGGGTGGATCATTTGAGGTCAGGAGTTCGAGACCAGCCTGGCCAACATGGTGAAACCCCGCCTCTACTAAAAATACAAAAATTTGCCTGACGTGGTGGTGGGCACCTGTAGTCCCAGCTACTCGGGAGGCTGAGGCAGGAGAATTGCTTGAACTCGGGAGGTGGAGGTTGCAGTGGGCCAAGATCGCACCACTGCACTCCAGCCTGGGTGACAGAGCAAGCGAGACTCTGTCTCAAAATAAATAAATAAATAATAAAATCAGGTAATATCAGATGAGATGATGGTGCGGGGTGGGGGGTATTTAGAGCAACAAAACACCAATGATGTCTTTGAAACTCACTCATTTTTTCATTTACTCAACAAATACTTACATAGCCCCTTCTATGTATAGGCCACTGTTCTAGCCTCTAGAGATCTAGAGTGAATACAATGGACAAAGGTCAGCACTTGCCTTGAGTAGAGAAAGACAGGCAATAAACAGATGAACAGACAAGACAAAGACTAAGGCAGGTGAGTGAGAGTGAATAGGGAAAGGAGATGAGGTTTGAGCTGGCAGAGGCTGATGAGAAGGATCCAGGAGAACAAGGAACAGTCCTGAGGAAGGGAAAGGCTTGTAGGAGGCCGTGGGTGTTGAACCAGGAAGTTCGTGGCAGAGATCAGAGAGTAAGACAGGGCCCAGAGGACATGGCGCTTTGCAAGGCAATTTACGGATCCTCAAGTGCAATGGGAAGCCATCATAACATTTTATGTATTTGTTCATTTATTTGTTTTTAGAGCTGGAGTCTCCCTCTGTCGCCTGTGCTGCAGTGCAGTGGCATGATCATAACTCGCTGCAGCCTTGACCTCCTGGGCTCAAGCGATCCCCTTGCCTCAGCCTCCTAAGTTGGGACTAGAGGTGTGCACCATCACGCCTGGCTAATTTTCTCACATTTTGTAGAGATGGGGTTTCACCATGTTGCCCGGGCCGATCTTGAACTCCTGGCTTCAAATGATGCTACCACCTTGGCTTCCTAAGGTACTAGGATTGCAGGTGTAAGCCACTGTGCCTGACCTGCTAATTGGCTCTATCCAGAAAAAAAAACCTCTCATATCTTTATGACAGGAGGTAATTTTGCAACTTGGACAGACATGCCCACGGGAAGTTAGGCTTCTTCCCTCTGACAGGAATTAGAATTTGGGGGTGCATTTCAAAGAGATGGCACCCCAGCCCTTGAGAAACATGTCTGGCTCGTAAAGCTGACAAGTCTTATTTATTACAGCTCCTGAAAAGACTTACACACATTTCAAAGAGACAGAACTTATAATGACGTGTTTTCCAAAGTAGGTGCTCTAAAACAAAGGAGGGGAGAGAAATCTCTTATTTTCAACAGAGAGAATTAAGGCTCTTTTTTCAATTTTTTGAGACAGAGTCTCGTTCTGTTGCCCAGGCTGGAGTGCAATCGTATCAACACAGCTCACTGCAGCCTCAAACTCCCGGGCCTAAGCGATCCTCCCACCTCAGCCTCCGAAGTAGCTGGGACCACAGGCATGTACCACCATGACCAGCTAATTTTCTTATATTTGTAAAATATAAGATGGCATCTCTCTCTCTGTTGCCCAGGCTGGTCTTGAACTCCTGGATTCAAGTGATCCTCCTGCCTTGGCCCCCCAAAGCACTGGGATTAGAGGCATGCGCCA